GTTTTCATCTCGCTCTGTTTTCATCTGTCTTTATTTGAAAATGAATATAAATAAAGATTTTGAGTATAATTTCTAATTTAGTAACTGAAAAAATGTTTTTTATTATTTGATTTCTGTAACTACACAATTTATCCCTACGTTAATTTGACATCAATCAAAAATTGAAGTAAAAATAAACACAAAACAAAATGCGGCTGCTCAAATCGCTCCCATTTGCCAGATCTGACGGCAAAAAATCTAAAATGACAGCCCTGCTCATATCGCTCTCGCACATTTGTTTTACTCTCATCTCGCTCTGTTTTCATCTCGCTCTGTTTTCATCTCGCTCCGTTTTCATCTCGCTATGATTTCATCTCGTTCGCTGTTTTCAGCTATCGCTTTCGCTATCTGTTTTCAGCTACCGCTACGGCAGAGCGTAGCACATCAGTTGTTTTTGTGCTACTCGCTACTGCTGTAGTTTTTGACGAGACGAAACTGAGAGCATAGCAGAGCACAAACTTTTTATTGTTAGGCTACAACTCTGCTACGGCTCTCGTCAAAAATGAGAGCGGTAGCGAGAGCTCAACGAAATGCTACGAAATAGCAGAGCATTTTCAAACGCTGTATAGATCTAAAGGGGTCAGACTTTAATGTGTTTATAACAATCGCATTCATCGCTTCCACTGCTTAGAGTTGGTGTCCTACTGGAAACTCCATTGCTTTTGGAACTTTAAAAATAGATGATTTCAATCAATACTTATCGATTTCGAATAAGCGTGACGATATAATGCTTGAATGGAATATATGTATTTGCGTTCTCATTGGGCATTTGTAGTCATTGGAATAAAAGATTTTAATTTTGCAGAGATTTGGCTTTGCCCTTCTGAATTCGTGTTCATTTAAGCCCAACTCTGAGCGTACTTTTGGCAGAGTTTCGAAAATGAAGCCAAAGACAGCTGAAGAGAGAAACATCTAAGAGTCGCCATCAAAGTTGGCGCTGGCTGTGTGGGATTTCCAGTTCATTAACTTTGCAGAAATATCAACAGAACAACATAAACATAAGGAGTTACGGCGCGGCTGTAAATATAGCTGTAACTCGAAATGTAACTGTAACTGTAACGAGGTCCAACTGGTGTTTGCCCAAACAATTTTCAAGCAATTTTATTTAACTGCCTTCGCAGATAATAAATCATTTCTTTACCCCGTCCAGCCCCCGTCCCGATTTGCCTGCCACCCACACAATGTTAAGTGACTGATGGGCTGCATTTGAGGGCCAGGTGGCTGGTGGCTGGGGCAGGTGGCAGGTGGAACAGACATTAGATGGCCTTAGATGCTGGCTGCTCCTTTCATTTTCATTCATATACATACATCTATATATAGGTGAGTGTGTGTATGTGTGTGTGTCGACTTTGTTGCGACGTTATCTGTTTTTTGCTAATTAACTTGGCTGCCTGTGGCCGAGAGAGCGAGACAGGCAGACATTGAGCGGGATATTGACAATGGGAGCGAGAGGGGCCAAGGAGCGAACGGGGTTAAACTTGAATGCTACGTTTTGAGTTTCTTTGGAAATCAAAAATCTCATTAAAATGTTCGGCAGGCGCGCCCTTTTGTCGAAGGCCTCTTTAACATAAAAGTAAGCAAAGGCAAACAAACAGAAAACAAAATAAGAATAACAATAATAACAATAATAATAAAGAACTGTGGCAATAACAGCAACAACTGTAATGACAACAACAGCCAACAGCCGACAGGCAACAGCTAACAGCTAACAGCCAGCAGCCAACGACAATTACTTAAAGGTTGGCCGCTTGCTTTGCCGTCGCCTCGCCTCACCTCGCCTCACCTCGACACGCCTCGCTGGGAGGCAATATTTATTGTAGTTACATTTTCACTGGCTTTTCATGCGCAGCGCGTTTTCCACTTAGCCAAATAGTCATTTCACAGAGCTTGCCAACGCGCGCCGGTATCCACGGAGCACATGCCAATTGCCAACGAGATTTACAAAGTCGAGCGCTAACAGCACAACGGGTTGGCTAACTAGGCGTATGCGCAATCCAAATAAACTCCATTGTTATGAGCAAATATTTACACTACAACTACAACTGCGTGCGCGCTTTCTCTCTCTCTCTCTCTCTCTCTCTCTCTCTCTCTTCCTTTCTCTGTTACATCTGTATTTATTTAACTTATATTGATGCTAATGACTGAAGGATATACATACATATATTACATTTAACTACCTGTAACTAGCTCCAATTAAAAGTCTCAATTAATTTGGTGTCATGTTAGCTTCAAATACAGTGTCCATTATGTTGAAGTGGTATTTATATGGTATGTAATATGATATTATTTAAAATATGTCACTTGATATAGCCATCAGCCAACAATTCAAGTTTTGTTGCTCGACTCGGATTAACCGCAGTCTCAGATGCAACTGATTTGTGATTTCTACTTTCTAGACTCAAATCTTAATACAATGCAATACAATTGAAGCCATAAGCCATTAGCGGTCTGCATTGTGGACTTTGTTTGATTTATTTGAATTGATCTCTTCAGGAACAAACGAATTGTTCTTGTTGGCAAGCTATCCAAAGTTAGCTAAGAACAATAATACAGAAATAGAACATAATAATAAACATAATATCATATTATCATAATAACGAACACATTTTCAGGTTTCTGTATATCATTCATGAGTATAGAATACTGATACTAATGATACTGATACTAATACTAATTGGTAATGGCCGACTGCAATGCTCTTATATCATGATCAATTGCTAGTCTATTCGGCTTAGAGAATCTCGTGAGGTCAATTGCCTTATTTAGCATAACTTTCGAGTGATTTTTAAAAGTTTGAACTTATCACTAGTTGTTTTCCAGAATTTATGGTGCACTTACTATGTAAAGAAAAATCTAAATTGGTGTACATTTGTTGGATAAGCTAGGTTCAATTGGTGATGCAGTGCGAGTGAGGTTTTGATAGAGAATGTTATATGGATGTTAATTATTGGTTATCAGAGAGAAGGTTGACGAGCTGACGTCTCTTAGCTTTCTAATGGTTCTGAAATGTGGCAGCTTTTATTCAAGTCGGTTGGCGTAAACCTCCTTCAGTCGATTGCTGGAGCGATTTGAGTGGAAGGAAATCTGAATTTCCCTGCGCAGACATGAGTTTCGGGCGAGCCTGAGGCTAACGTTTTGTTTTGCTTCACCTGGAGTTTGTGGTCGTACCTCCATATTACACATGTTGCTTGGGGATAGTTTACATTTGCTTTGTAGCATCTAGGACATCTGAATAAAACGGGATCGACAGGTGCCAGCGATTGTAACAATGTGGGGCTAGAAAGTGGGTCGGTTGGTCTAATGTGAGCCAGAAGCGTTTCACCGTCCTGGTTTGTACAAAACGGTGCTATTTCATGTACAGTGGAATCCGATTAGAACGGCGCTCAAGGGACTGTCGCTATTC